CAATCTCAAATCTTTAGCGTCTTATCCAAACGATGGCACTTTCTACAATACAGTGTCCCTGGTCACCATAATGGGACATTGGTTTGTACCCCTTTCCGGCACACCATCACATACTGTACAGAAGCAGATTTTTTTTCCAATAGACATCTCCCATTCCTGTATGAACCAAGCGCAACTAAGCCTTGCTTAGCTTCCAAGATCAGTTTAGATCGGTAACTCTGTTGTCACTAGCTTAAAACAGTGTCAGGTCATGTGAGCTCACACATAAATTCAAATTTGAAAGACCACATGCAAGATTTTAATATGATTAGAATCTCCTGAATAAAGGTATTTATGCCAGCAAGATACAAGTGTAGCAAGTGGTACACAGTACATGACATCTGTGTCAGTTGCCACAACATAAGATGTACTGGATGATTATTTGTGTATCCATCCATTTTCTAACCACTTTAACCACTACGGAGTCATAGAGGAGTTAGCGACTAAAGTAGCAGGCACATACATATTGCATACAGACACACAGACGCAGGCATACAGCATACAGGTGGATGCTGTACATTGGTGGTGGTGGAGGGGAGTCCCCATTATCTGCAAAGCGCTTTGAGTGGAGTGTCCAGAAAAGCGCTATATAAGTGTAAGCAATTATTCATTATTATTATTATAGTACATAGACACACACTCCAGACAGATAGCCCCAAAGGTTTGGAATTAAGCTCATGGCTCCAGTGGTGTGAGGCAGCAATGCTAATCACTGCACTACCCATGCCACATATTCATATTGGAATTGAACATTCATATTGGTCCAGCTTTGAATACCTAGATAATAGGCCAGGTTTACAGCAGAGCACAGCGGATTTTGTTACAGGAGCATTGAGCAGATTTTTTCCCCATTCCCTCTGGAGGGGATGCTGTAATCAAACATGGCACATAGTCTGCAGAGTAAAAAGTCCCAAAATGGGCAGAAGTCTGATTTTAATTAAATCTGAATTTAATTTTGATTCCATTTCTGAACTATGAACTGAAAAATAAAAAAATGCCTGACTTAAAAGAAAAGCAGACACTGAACACGATTTAAAGCATCTGTGTCTAACCACCTGCTGTGATACTGGTCAACATCACACACAGGGGGATTGTGGAAAGAACCACAGCCTATTAACTGGAACCATAAAAGGGAGAGTGGTAAGCAGATCATCAATAAAACTGGACCATGTCTGTATGTTATGTGTGTTTGTAAGTGATAAACTGTACAACATACAGCCCACAAGCAATTTGAATACTCTTATTTTATCTTTTGACAATTTTTGTCCTGACCCTCCCTGAATGACTGAATCTGGTATTTAAAAGCACTTAATAAGAGCTATTCGTTTGCTGTAGTGCTTGGATGTGAAGCACACTGAATTTTCACTAACCCCATAAAACATTTAATAAATGTAGAGATCCTTTGATATAATAGTTCCATGAATAATATACCAGTTTCACCTGAACAGTACCCATTTAAGCCATTAGGAATATGTTTAATTGTGCTGAGTGATCGGCAGCCTATTTTGGGAAATATCTTTATGTGCAGCACACATTCTCGATTCTCCAAAGAAACAGTGATCAGAAAAGATTATGGAAATTTGCTGGCAACATAATTTCAAGGCTGGCACACTGCACTCCCAACTATTCACCATGCAGCAGATAACTTCTTCTGCCCCCTTCCTTTCCACTACATTAGCTGCAAGCCTGGCCTGGGGGCAATGTTGAATAATTATAAAAATGATAACTCTGTCAGTTAGAATATTCATGAATACATTGAAAAAGCCCCTTCCCCCCTTAACCAGAATTTATTTTTCTGTGATGAGTCACTGCGGGGGGTTTTATCAATCCAGCTGCCCAGCCAAGCGTGCGCTCAGTACAAAACGTTTTGCTTCACGCTTCAGATTATCACTGTGTGACACTATACTTGCAAGGAATGCTGGGCACGTGCCCTACATCCTCAAATCCAGAGAACCTTAGCACATCTCATAGTGTGGCATTCAGTTTTCTGCAGCAGAGCCATGTGTGAACTCATTTTTAGTGACCAAATGTAAAAAAAAATGCCATTCCTTTTAGCAAGCTTTAATCTTTTTTTAAGTGACTTTACCTTTGCCTTTTGTACAAAATGTTGTTACGTGTATTGTATTTGTCTGTGTTAAGACTGCATCTGTGACCGGACTGTTAATTTTTCCCGTTTTGAAAACAAACATTTGCGTAGTTTGTTAAAAAGGAGCCATTTTTCCGGAGCAAAGGAACTTAGTCTTTCAGGTCTTCCTGTGGTACATTTCAAAGGGTAATATAATAGCATGTAGTAAAATGCAATCATTTCTCTATTAAATAATTTTCCAGTGTTACTTCAGGGTTGCAAATCAAAAGAATGTGACATTTTGAAAGGTCCATTACCTAGACTGAGATACTGTAATCTCGAACTTCACCCACTGAAAAGGATGTAAATTTAAAGTGACATCTTCTGCACAAGTGTCTCAGGGTATTTTTAGAAGACATTCCAATAGGGTGTTCAACAGCAAGACCCGTCTATATCATTTTCCCTAGTAGGAGGATTTAATGAGGCTCTTTTTTTATGGCAATCAATTTACTGGTACAATTCTGTCTTTTCTAAGACTCTCATACTGGCCACTAAAAATAACATACATGTTATTCCTTTTGCAACTAATATTACAAAAGAGCATTTATATACATGTGTTCTTATTAGTACTTTACCATGTTTCTTCTGGGAATGTGATAAAGGCGAAGTCATGTGTTGTTCAAGAACAATCTGTGGGCTGAATTATGCATACTGTACATCACCTTCTTGATTACCATCTGAACTGTCCCAAGGTCAAATAATTATCTTCACACGGCAGAAGGAAAGATATTGCTAATCAAGCCGGCACTCATCCAGAAACTATTGAAACAGTTTGAAATGTTCCTACATTTTTTGTTCAAATGAGGTGAGACCATGAACACCTGGCATCTCACTTAATGAATTTGTTTTGTCAACTCTGTGAATTTGAACAGCAGTTATTAATGTGAATTCCTTACTCACAAGGGACACACATTGTATACTCTGTTATTTGCCTCCTTATAAATAACTGCTGTATTATCTCAATTGTCTACACACAGAAAAATACCACACTTACGTTTAACCTAACAAAATTAAGAAAACAGCACTAGTGTTTTGTTCACATTTACATTTTAATTGAAGGCTCATGGTTGGGAATGTGTCAATTTAAATTTGTGATTTTTAAAGTCATTTGAAGACAGAGAAGAATTTAGCCACAACATCGGGAAAAACATAAATTAATCTGTATCTTAGAAATGAACATTGTATGAAACACTCCAAAGAGTGTTATAAAGTTTAGGAAGTGGAATAAGTGAGAATGCTGAAGTAAAGGGCAACAAAACATAATATTGGGGAGAAAACCTCTCGACATGAATATTGCACAGTGATTGCACAGAATATATATTGAATAGCAAAAATATTGCAGTACTTCATTTTTATAATAAATGGTATCCTTGTGATACATCAGTATAAACAGGCATGAGTTTGCGGCACGAGGTTATCAAATACTACATACTTACAGTATGTGAAATGGGAGTTGAACAATAAAGTGTATTTCACTGTGTAAAACAGTATGTGTTGTTTCTCTTAAAGTTGGTTATATTTATTGCTGTGCTGTTAGGGCTAATTTGAAAAATTCAATGTTTATTTAAAAGGTTATTAAAGGCAATTAATAAATTAAATGCAAATAAGTACTTCCAGTATAAGTAATTATCTCACTTTTATGTGCTACTGTACGCATCTTTGTTCTTTGTATACTAGAATAGTTTTGTTGTATTTGAATGCTAATGTTTGCATAGTGAAGCCTCTGTACAAAGCACCATGTAAATTCTCTCTCAAGCACCTGCAGAACTTGATTGACCTTGTGACGCAAGATGAAACTAGACGTGGTGCCCAGAGCACTAAACCCATCAACACATACTTCCAAAACACCATGGACAACAAAATCAACAATAACAGCTGTATGTTCATCCGTCTTTGTTTTGTTTGCTCTGTAAGTTAAAACAAGGTTTGTATCACTCGTTGCTTCGTCCGACCCATTTCTAAAGATAAAGCAAAATTCTGCAATTGAATTCATGTAATGTGAGCAAACAAGATTCTTTTGCTGCCCCCTCATTCTGTTGTATGTCCTGAACTTTAGTCTGGGAACAAGATTGTTTCCATAAGTATGATTTTCAAGAGGTATTGATTAACGTGTGCTGACATTTTTTAGGTAGTGATAACTGTACATGACTTAGTAACAGCACTGTGTTTCCAGCCCATACGGTATGAAGGTAAATACATTTGATGGGGATGAGCAAAAAAACAACATCTTTCATTCCATCATTCCTTCTACTTTAACTTTTACCTTAACAGCTGTATCCAATACAGGATCGCAGGGCAGCCGAAGGCTATCCCAGCAAGCAACGGGCGCAAGGCAGTACACATCCTGTACACACATAGATAAACACGCACGGACTAACACCAGGGCCAATGTTACCCAAAGCCAATCAACCTACAAGTATGTTTTTGAACCGTGGGGTACCCAGAGTAAACACAGAAGAGCACAGGGAGAACATATTATCTCCATGCAGACAGCATCCCAAGAATTGAACCCGCACTGTTGGCCACTGTGCCACCCAAATTCTGTCATTGTGTCTGCTAAACAATATGCATTCATAATGCCATGAGGCTGTTCAGATAATTTTCTGCAGGTATCTACAGTTAGAATAAGAAAGGACTTCTGACATTTTGTAAAAAAAAAGATTTAAACATGGTTTTTAATTTCAGCTGAAGCAATGTTCTCTCTGTCTGCATTACCTACCACTGCCTTTCCCCATTAATGCATTTGGCAGTTAAAAAAAAATGTATGCAATTAACAGTGAAAGGTGCTTGACAGTAATGGCTTTGACCTATCAGCTGCATGTTAATAACCACATACCGAAATCCACAAGCTTAATTCCCCCCTCTGTCGTGAGCAGGATGTTGTTTCCCTTGACGTCACGATGGATAGTCTTGTTCCTGTGTAAGTGCTGAAGGCCCTGGAGGATGGGAAAGAAGTCCTGTCAACACATTTTAGTCAAATGTTACCCAGGATGCTGTTTTTCTTGTGGTACTGAAAGAAGACACCTTAAGGATGGAAGAAAGAAAAGAGTGCCAGAAGCCTTCTGCAGTCAGATTCAGAATTTTCACCTTCCCTGCATAGAGTTTGAGCCAGAATTTGAACCTCTGCTGGCAGCCCACAGAATTTTCTAGAATGTGAACTACAAGATAACTGAGAGATGTTTTCTCTTACTTTGGTGTCCAAGATTCTGTAGGTTTATTATTCACGTTTATCATGTGAATCATATGAAACAAGACTCGGGGACCACATATTACTTTTTAATAAAGATTAATATTGTGGAACAGGTATGGATTCATTCATGCTTTTCAAAAATTGAAGAGCCCTGGTTTTCTCGACAGTATTGTGCAATGTGAAGCAGCAATGTGAGTGCACAGCTGGTATGTGTTTTTGGAAAAAAAATAAGTGTTTATTCTGGAGCAATATACAGCCCCAGGAAAATCTGATAATGAATTAATACTGATGCAGCCACTCAGGCAGCGCATCACAGCTCTTTGTAGTGGCAAGACGACTTTGCCACAGTGTAGTGTGACTCGTTACACTGCCCAAAGAATCTTCACTGGAAAAAGATCGATAGGTGGCACTTGTGGTGCATTACCTGTTAAAACATCAGCTTCACTTAATCTGTTGTCCTACTTCTTTAAATCCATTTAATATGGAAAATTAATATGGAATCATGTACTGTAAATAAAGGGATGTTTTGGCAGCTGAAAATAAAAATATGCTTTTCAATGTCATTACCTACAGTATACTACTTTATACAAATAGCATGTTTATATAATTGGTAGCGGTAGTGTTTTCCACTTTCTTCATAAACTTTTGCATCAAACTTGGTCACATGTTGTGGTTATTTTGGAAATGTTTTGACGTCCTCGTCTTTACGGCATTTTGCTGTTGTTATTGCTGTAATGGGAAACGATACATTTCACTTTTTGCCAATTACAAGGAAGCAATGAGCCTCAACAAGATCATCAAGACAGTGACCCATTCCTGGCACAGAATATGTCCTGAGGGACTCTGGGACCATTGGTAAGGGGCTGGTAGAGAGGAGATCCTGCATGTGATGAGCAGTCTTTTAAGTCCATTTTTAAATTGCATGAGAGGAATAACTTAGAACATCATGTTTCACAAAAAATATTGTGTCTTTAGACAGAGGCTCACTGACAGACGTCTGTTCAAGGATAGTTTATTTTGTTTATATGCTAAGAACAGTCATGTTACATTTGAATTGAAAGCTACAGATTGGCTTGAGTAGACATTTATAAGAGAATCTGAGATAACAGTAACAATAGTTCAATATTAATATCACAGTTTATTTAACTGATTTATAAAACAATCTATACCTTTTGCATATCTCATTTATAGAATAATAACTCTAAAAAAGACAGATGCTTATTGAGATTTTGTTTTGCTTTTGTGCCACGGGTTTGAGATGATGTGTTTATGATATGATCTGATTATGATCATTATGATCTGCATACAGTATCTGTGTCACCTTTGGAATGACAGCTGATTCCAAAAACCTTTCAGGAGGTGCAAGAGATAACAGAGAAGACTCCCTAAAGATAAGAATAGAGTTTCTGAAACACAAAACTTCATGCTGGGAACTCCAACAATAAGCACTGTAAAAGATCTCTGAAAGAATGGAAAGGAATCGGTCATAAAGAAGTAAAAAATTCAACCTGTTTCAAACTCTTACCATAAGTGCTTCATGCAGGATATAGGCAATGATTGGCTCATCCATTCTGTCTCCTCTCTTCAGCAAACCTTTCACGAGATCTGTTACAGATCCACCGTTGCAGAGCTAGAGCAAAAGACAAGAGGTCACTGCCATGACAGACACCACTTCGTGTCTCAACACAAACCCAAGAAGAGCACTGAGTTAAAAAACACCATTAATGGGATGAGATTACATCTTAAATATTATTTATTCAAACGCTCAACACGAGATGATGATATCACAAAAAATGTTGCTACAAATACCGTATATTTAGCACCTATTAATGTGAAAATATTCGGGATTATGTTTATCAATCCTTAAAACCTTATCTTTCAAAAACAGATCCTGTAAAATCCAAAACACGCCTTTGCAAACCGTGGATTTTCATAAGAAGGATTTATTGGGCTTTGAGGTGGCTAAGCACCTCAGTCATTAATGATGGTCTTAAAGGTCAACTTCACCCTTTAATTCAAAAACAGTGTTTTTTACTGTATTAACAGTTGTCTCATTCACAAGGACAAAAACAATAATTACACCTTACATCCTTGGGCTTTATTTTTCTTCCCAACAAATTATTGTCTTGCAGCATATGAACAGAGTTGATCATTATTCTCTAACTGATCACCAACATTCCTGATCAAGCATTTTTACTTCTTCATTTAAGGTCTTTTAGAAGATACTTTTAAAGGCACTACCTTTGTATACAGTTTAAAACATATGATTAATAGAGCAAATATAAAAATGTTCTTTTGCTATGCGAGAAACTGTTATGTCCTGAAGTCATTGTGTCAGTTATGAAAAAAAAAGAAGTACACAATGCACAAATAGTAGAAAATGTATGTAAGTGGCCATTCTTTCACATTGAAAATCTCAAATCAGACAATCGAACTGGCACCAGTTTAAAAACAAATCTTTATTAAAATGTGTTATCCCTCACAATAGGTGAGTCATATGAATTTAAATTAATAAAACAAAACTAAAAATAATGGAGAACCTATTTTAAATATTATTATACCTAAATTTTGAGATTATAATATAATTTGAGAATTCTGCTTCAAATGATTTCATGTACAAAATGACTTTGGAATTGACACTCCTTAAAATAAACAGCCCATGCTGAAATGTAAATCACAAAAAATGATGTTCTCCTGGATCGCGGTAAACTGTCATGTTGTAACTGTCCTACACATTTTATAATTAAGCTTTAAACAGAACAGGAAGAGGCTAAAAATCTTGTAAATCACAGCAGTAGGTATTAACCATCACGATCTCTTAATGTGCCATATTAATATCAAAGACTTTCTAAAGCCTGTCATCAAGAACACATCAAGAATTTTATGGCCCGGAGTCATTTTATAAGCATTGCTACAACTCATGCAGAAACTCTGGTTCCGTCTGTGTTGACGTACAGAAAAGCAAACAGGAAAATCCAGGCTTAACCTCCACAAAAATACATTTTCCTCATCACTTCAGGAAATGTGTTTGATACTATACTCTGGTCCTCTACACCACGCTTTGAGCAGTGTAGGCAACTCCAAAGCCATTTCTTTTCAATGAGCTGCATTTTATCAAAAGCGGTTTAAACTGAAATCTGATAAATGGATTATGTTAATTTCATGTTTGAAATTCTAATGAGATAACCCCATAAAATACTGTATATATTAAGAAATCTCAAAATATATTACAATATAAATATATTTTTACTTTTTCAGTTTCTTTCAAACATAAGTTTTTTTTAAATATATAGAATGGTACTGTATGTTTTCCAAGACTGCTTTGAACCAAATGAGCTACATGTTCTTAAAACAAATTTAAATAAATGTTTTACACTAGGTCCATAATTTTACATTGGAACCAACTCATAGATCACCTATTTACTTTTTTTTTTTTTTTTACAGTATTATGGTTTTGTACTAAATTACTTGTATACAAATATTTTTTTCCATGAAAGTGAATTTAATTAAATACTAATATAAATTATAAATACTCTCCGCTAGTAGAGGCTGCAACTGAAAAAGACTTTCAGTCACATAAAATGTGTTTATGTTGCCACAACATTTACATCTTCTTAATAATGTGAGATAGCAATTAAGAAGGTTAACAGTCCAGCTCTGGAGCCTATCCAGAGAAGAGTAACGGAATACATTCTGGAGCTTAAGGGAATGTCTTACATTGGCAGGCTGAAGGAGTGAATCTTTTTAGTCTCAAACAGACAACTGCTACAGGACTTCAAGATCCTCAAAGACACCTCAAAGACAGTCAATGCTGTAGATTTCATCAGAATGAACAGACAAACCACCAGAATGAACACAAACCAGAGGACACAAGTGGAAAATACCATGAAGAACATTTAAAACCGAGCACATGAGACACATCTTAACCCAAAGGTCTGTGGAAGTACAGTATGGAACAAGCTAACCAGCCCTGTGGTTGAAGTAAATATCTTGGCTTCTTTCAAAAAATGGCTGGATGAGATCCTTGAATTAACTACTGAATTCTGTGTGAGGTATTGTACAACTGATAGCTATCTTCCTTCCATCTCTATATCCTTGAGGATAAATTAAATATCAATCCCCCAATCACAATAGTACCTTATTTTCCAGATATAATTTCTCCAGCTTAATATGACATGTGAACAGTGAAATACCTTAAACATACCAGAAAAATCTCTTTTGAACAAATAAAGTACTGAGAATTAAACCTGTTATTTTTATTCTGATATATCTCCTCATTAAAAGACTTAAGCTTTTTTTTTATTATCACAAGTTAACAACAGCTGTTTAAAATATTGTGTTACTGTTATTTAGGGTTCTAAGAGACAGCCTTGGAGTCTGCTGAAAACTGAAAACATATCGGGTTAGTAAGTAATAACTAGGATTAAGGTTAAACAGGAAGTTCAATAACCAAAAAATAAGATTGAAAAGGAAATTAAATTACCAGTAAGTTATAGTAATCAAAGATATCTGCTCAAATGCTGATTGCTTTCCCAAATTTGGAAAAATACAAGCTTTCCATAGGAGGCCGTGTATTGTAGAAGACAGGTTATCCTACACATACAATATATGAACTATTTCTCTTAACTAGTGGAGAATAGCTACTGTATGATCACATAATTACGTCCAAGGAGGCAAAAAATTAAGTAAAGACAATTCACATCCTTTATGCGTTTTCAATATAAAACAGGACTTTCGTCTAAATAGTATGGTTGGCATATTTATATGTGGATATGTTTCTTGTTTCACCCATTTTGTGAGTTTGACATAAACGAATTCTGATTAAAATGTCACATGCTTAGTAATTGGAGCTTTGAGAAGGTCTACAATAGGACAGAAAGAAGTCCTCTAAAATCTACGGCTGTAATGAGTCCTTTCAAAACCATGAAAACACAAAACTGTCTCGCTGTTGTCAAGGCAACAGTAATAACCCCTTATTCAGTGCAGTCTCAATCTGTCTTGAAAGAACAGAAAAGTGCTCTTGACTGAGCACAACTCTAACAAGAGAAATAACATGGAGGTACACAAATCGTTCTACTATATCTGGAAAAATAAACACTTAAAAACAGAAGAATCTGTTGCTGTCAGGCACTCTTTGAGCAATTGCTTTGCTGTCTATGTTTCAATCAGAAATTAAGCTTCAATGACAAAGAATTAGTGTTAAAATAAAGTAAATTTTGCACCCAAAGACAGCTATTTTATAATATGGCAGTGTATTGAAAATTACATTATATGTCTAAGTATACTGTATACTGTATATATATTTTAACACCAGAAAATGGTGCTCTTTGGAAAAGCTGGCTGAGATATGTTTAATTTTAACTTCTTTGTTATCTGAGGCCATTTTAAAAACCAGGAAAAACACCCTAAACACTTACAAAACACTTTGTGGGGAAGCTCATGGAGAGCTGACTCGTTTGCTCACTTCCATGCCCTTATTGATAGAGCTAGGTAAAGAAATCATTGCTGAAACAATGATAGGCCCAATACACCTGATAAGATCAACAATATCAGAAAACTGGGCAGCTTCTATTGTGGGGAAGTTTTGTTTATTGGGGACATTGAGACAACCATATAAGGGCTAAATTGTCTGCTGAGAATTTTTAAGAGATCGGTGCACATGTGTGCAAGAACTGTAGGTTAAGTTCACACATTTGCAGATGGGAGAAGCATGGACATTGCTACTGTTGTCACTCATTAAGCGATCTCTATATACAGGGACAGAGACAGACAGAGAGAGCACGCCAGCCAGCATTTGGTTTGGAGCGGTTCCAAACGGTTGGGAGTTCTGGTACTTGAGCAGCTTAGTCTCCTGGATGAAGGCCTTGCTGGCCTCCTCTAGGTTGAGTGATAAAACCTCCCTCACAGGAATCAAGAAGGCTCAGGGAATCTCGTAGCAGGCCAGACCTGACTGCTGCTATGTCAGAGGTATGCAAGTGTGGGTAATGATCCTGGCCAAACAGGATCAGCCTGGTAAGGTTACACTGCTGTTATTAGTGATCATTAGTGGTTAAGACTATAAATGGCTAAGATTTGGTTAATACTGGGGGAAAGACAGGGTTATTTTTCTCTTCCCTGAAACGGCGTTTGGTTAATAGTCATCTGATTCAAAACCCCAGAGGGTGTTAGGGTTGTCCGGGCTTCCACACTATGTGGATGGGAAACATTATGAATACAGTAATTATGGTTTATGTTGATGGATGTGTTCTTGGGTCGGTTGCTGGTGTGCAATCTTTCGATGGTTAAGGTTCGCAGTTTGTGTCACGATCTGTGTATTACTATTTAGGTTATAGTTCACCATTCTTGGTTTGAGATCCGCTTATGGTGAGAATACAAACTTCCCTTAGGACCCTGTGAAGCTTGGGGTGTCTGGTCCTAGAGTAAGCTTCCTCTTGAGTATAGATAATAGACTTAGGGCCACACGCCTCCACACTGCAGTGAAGCAACAGGACCGCCGAAGAAAAACCCAGCCTTTAGCCATTTACAGTAGCTGGGAATCAGTGAATTGTCTGTGAGTGAGTGGCTGGTGAAAGGGTTGCCATGGTGCTCAGGAAGGGACGAGTGACAGGACCCAGCTTCATTGTCAAAGAG